CTATAATGAGTAAAGACACTTATTCCTCTCTTTCTTCTACTCTTCCTCCAATTTCTCCTTCTCATGTCATTCTAACTACGTATACTGGAGAGAAGATCAAGCCAGTCGGTGCTATAGATGTTGATGTTCGTTATCAGTCCCAGACTGCTACTCTACCACTGGTGATAGTTCCTGGAAATGGACCTACTCTACTGGGTCGTAATTGGTTGGAAGTTATCCGACTAGATTGGTCCCTTATTAATCATGTTAATTATAATTGTTCTTTTTCTTCTTTAGGTGAAGTACTCCAGAAGCACGCTCCAGTATTTCGTTCAGAATTGGGGAAGCTGCGGGACTTCACAGCCAAGATTCACGTCCAGTCAGATGCGAAACCGAAGTTCTACCGACCACGTCCTGTCGCTCTATTGCTGAGACAAAAGGTATTCGACGAGATAGATCGCCTAAGGGGTTTAGGAGTTATTACACCTGTAAAGTACTCAGAGTGGGCTGCACCCATAGTTCCCATTGTAAAGACTGACGGGTCTATTCGATTGTGCGGGGACTACAAAGTTACTGTGAACCCAGTTCTGTTAACTGATACATATCCACTACCTCGATCAGAGGATCTGTTCGCTGCCCTAGCTGGAGGAAAGATCTTCTCGAAACTTGATTTAAAGCACGCTTACCTTCAGATACCGCTGGATGAGGCTTCCAAGAAATTTACAACCATCAATACCCCCAAAGGGCTCTTCCAATATGAGCGCCTTCCTTTTGGAGTCTCATCAGCACCCTCATTATTTCAACGTACAATTGAGAACTTACTCAGTCACTTGCAGCATGTATGTGTCTACATAGACGACATACTCGTTACTGGTACTGATGATGCTGATCACCTCAATAATCTTCATGCTGTTTTGCAAACTCTAGAGGAGGCAGGACTCACTTTAAAGCAGTCCAAGTGTAAATTTGGTGTTCCATCAGTTGAGTACTTGGGACACATCATTGATTCAGATGGTCTACATCCTTCAGAAGCCAAAGTGAAGGCTATTCGAGAAGCGCCTACTCCTACTAACGTCACGGAACTGAAATCCTTCTTAGGACTATTGAACTATTACCACAAATTTCTACCAGATGTAGCCACTGTATTATCTCCTCTTCATCTACTCCTTCGAAAAGATACTCCCTGGAAATGGTCTCAGGACCAAGAGAAAGCATTTCAAAAGGCTAAAGCCATGCTTCATTCCTCCTCTGTCTTAACGCACTATGATGAGAAGAAGCCACTCGTGGTAGTTTGTGATGCTTCACCTTACGGACTAGGAGCAGTCCTCAGCCACAGGATGTCTGATGGGACTGACCTGCCAGTTGCATATGCTTCCCGTACTCTCTCAGCAGCTGAAAAGAACTACTCTCAGTTGGAGAAGGAAGCTCTAGCAATTATCTTTGCTGTTCGCAAATTTCATGATTACATTTATGGTAGAAAATTTGTCCTTCATTCTGACCATAAACCACTACAGTTTCTCCTGAGCGAGTCTAAACAGATTCCTCTACTTGCCTCATCTCGTATCCAACGTTGGGCAATTGCACTATCAGCATATAACTATGTTATCCAGTACAAACCAGGTAAATTAATTCCACATGCAGATGCATTGAGCAGACTACCACTTCCTAACTTCCCTTCTTCTGTCCCTATACCACAAGATGTAGTGCTAATGTTTGAACATATTTCAGAAGCTATAGTTTCAGCTGATGATATTAAGATGTGGACAGATAAAGATCCAAACTTATCAAGGTTACGTCAGATAGTACTCACTGGAGGGGAGGTACCTGATGATGCTCCACAACTGAAACCTTATTCGTACTGTTTCGTAGAACTCAGTGTAGCTAATGGATGTCTCCTTCGAGGCTCAAGAGTGATTGTTCCACCCCAGGGTCAGTCAGCTATTCTTCTTCAATTACATGAAGCACATCAGGGAATGTCGAAAATGAAGAGTCTAGCCCGCTGCTATTTCTGGTGGCCTGGATTAGACAAGGCAATTGAAGATCTAGTAAAGAAATGTAAGGCATGCCAAGAAAACAGTGCTCTCCCTCCTCAAACTCCTGTACACCCATGGGAAGTTCCAAAGACTCCATGGACACGACTTCATATAGACCATGCTGGTCCTTTCCTGGGACACTACTTCCTCATTCTGGTAGATGCTCACTCTCGCTGGTTAGAAGTATGCATTGTACCTTCTACTTCCTCTGAAGCGACTATCAAAGTCCTTCGTCACATATTCTCTACTCATGGTCTTCCTCATCAGTTGGTCTCTGATAATGGACCTTCATTTACTAGTCAAGAATTTAAGAAATTCATGTCTCTAAATGGTATTCGCCATTCACTAACAGCTCCTTACCATCCGAGGTCTAACGGTCTAGCAGAAAGAGCAGTGCAGACATTTAAGAATGCTATTAAGAAGATGGAAGGACCACTACATGAAAGAATTGCTCGATTCCTTTTCTCTTACCGAATCACTCCTCAATCTACTACTGGGCAATCCCCAGCTGAACTCTTAATGGGACGTAGATTAAGATCAGTCTTAGATACTGCTCACCCAGATTTCACTCTACCTTCACAGAAAGAGAAGACTAAAAGCAATGCAAGATCATTCAAGCTACATGACAAGCTGTTTGCAAGGAACTACTCTGGGAAGCCATTATGGATTCCTGTGGTTGTCTGTAAGGTCACTGGACCATTGTCTTACCATGTTGAAACTATGGATGGTTTAGTGCTTAAAAGACATGCTGATCAGCTCAGAAAAAGGTACACTGAAGACTCTGAGCCAGATACCCTGCCGGAGGACAGTGATTGGGATGATGATTTCACTCCATTGATTCCTAACGGGCCTCCACCTCCTACTCCACCTCCTTTGCCCCCACCGATTCGTCGATCGACTCGTTTAAGGATGACTACTGATCATGGGCCGTATGTATGTTAACTTAAGAGGGGAGGGGTGTTATATATTGATATATTATTTTGGTATTGATTCCTATTATTATTTTCTAAGGCATTTTGATTACAGTTATTTCTAGTATTATTATTATTGTTATTATGATTATTATTACTACTATTGTTATTACAATTATTATTATTACTATTATTAATTATTATTATTATTATTGCATTGCTGTATGATGTTATTTCTTTTCCTTCTAGCTGATGCTTATGATTTACTATGCTTATTAGTTCATGTATACTGATTCTGATTGTTGTGTAATGTTTTGTCATTGTGATGTAATATGATGTAATACTGTTTGTATATAAGTGTATGCTCTTTTCATTTTTGTCAGAAGAGATTTTAGCCTTTTTACAATAATCAATATTTACAAAATACGAAGGTCAAGCTCTCTCCATTCGGTCACTACAATTAGGAACATAAGTTCAGTGCCGTCTTTTTTCCTCACTTCCAGGACAAACATTTCCATAGATTTTGCTAGCTCTTCACGACTGAGAGACATGATAGACGGAGTTTCATCAAGTTGTAGCTTCCAATTAATATTATTCCATTGGTTTATGCACCAATAATTGTTTCTGCCCTCGTTTTTTGCCGGTTACGGATGCCAGCACTCGCTGGTTTGCGATAGTGTATGAGTATCTTTGTCCTTGTGCTGTTTGCTGCAGAGCCCTATAACAGGACAGGCTAGTATTGTAGAAGACTGTCATTGCCGAGTGATATCTTTGTCGGACCTAGCTAGTTTTGATTTGAAACTGTCTTGTGCTGTCGCTACGGCGTCTCCCAAGGTAAAATCACTGACCAATAGCTTTTCAGAACATGGAAAAGACTGGTTAGCAACAGCATCATCCTTGTTGGTAATGAGCCCACTGCCTAACATTACCTGACTATAATCTAAAGAACCTAGACAATGCATTTTCGGTTTCTACGTGATTTAGATTACCTTGGAAACATTAATAAACCTCGGGCTACGCCCTCGGTTAATTAAATTTGTTTCGTCGGTAATCTAAATCACGTAGAAACCTCAAATGCGTTGTCTAACCTATATGTATTTATAGTTAAATTGTATTGCCATAGATTTAATACACAGACCTATGGTATTGCTACCCGGCATTTATTCGAATGCAGCTTCTATTTAAGGATATACAGTAAATGAAAAGGATTGGAAACTTCCGTGTGGGCGTAGCAAGAGTGTCATTTGATTGTATTGTTGCTAAGCAAAAAATTGCTGACTAGGCTGTTTGC